CCAACATGGTTGTTCAGTTCGAGGACTTTGACAGTGAGAAGGCCTTTGGCTACCTGGACCGTTACCGTGACCAATACCGATGCTTCAACGATGACATCCAGGGAACTGGTGCCGTCGTCCTTGGTGGATACATTGGCGCTGTTGAGCAGTCCAATGTTCCCCTTGAGGAGCAGCGTCTTGTCTTCATGGGTGCCGGATCTGCTGGTGTCGGTGTTGCTAAGCAGCTTGTTGAGTACTACACTCGTCGTGGTCTGAGCGAGGCTGCTGCTCGTGAGAAGTTCTGGCTCGTCGACACCAAGGGTCTCGTCACCAAGGACCGTGGTGACCGTCTTGCTGAGCACAAGAAGTACTTCGCCCGAACTGACAACAATGGTCAGCAGTTCCGCACTCTCGAGGAGGTTATCGAGTATGTTAAGCCTAGCGCTCTGGTTGGTCTTACTGCCACTTTCGGTGTCTTCACTGAGACCGTGGTCCGTGCTCTGAAGAGCTCTGTCCAGGAGGGTGGTCTTGAGCGCCGTCCCATCCTCTTCCCTCTCAGCAACCCTCTCACTAAGGCTGAGTGCACATTCGAGCAGGCTATCGAGTGGACTGAGGGTACCGTCCTCTTCGCCTCTGGTTCTCCCTTCAACCCCGTCAAGGCCAAGTTTGGCGACGAGACTCACCACACCGTCTACCACCCTAACCAGGGTAACAACGTCTACATCTTCCCTGGTCTGGGTCTCGGTGCTATCCTGGCCAAGGCCTCTCGTGTCACTGACGAGATGGTTTACACCTCTGCCGCCGCTCTGGCTGGTTCCCTAAATGCCGATGAGGTCCACAAGGGTCTCATCTACCCCCGCATTGAGCGTGTCCGTGACGCCAGCGTTATCGTTGCCCGTGAGGTCATGAAGGCTGCTCGACGTGGCGGTGTCTCTGAGCTTCCCGAGGCTCAGTGGGCTGAGTGGGAGGAGTGGGGTGATGTCGCCCTTACCTCTTTCATCAAGCAGCACATCTACAACCCTCTCTGCTTTGCTGATGCCAAGTTGTAATCATGTGCACACTTGTGTATGATATGCAAAAAAGCATTGCTTTGAGGGTTTGAAAATGGTGAAGTGTGTATCTCGACCATGAAGTGCTCGTCGTTGAGATCGCACTTGCGGATGATTGCGTACTTTTAGTGACTTCATGCCACACATCAAGTTCGGTGGCCATCGGTACTCTCTTGAGCGAGCCTTTTTTTTAATAGGCTTTTTGTCTTTGATAATCTGTTTGACGCGTTAACGGCTATTTAATTTTTGTTTTCATCTGGGGCCATATAGGCTGGGTATAGAGAGGAGTCAAAAGAAGAGACGGAAGAATGTATATACCAGTGAATGGGATATTGGAACAGTTATGACAATGACAAGAACCTTGCCATGAACTGCCTTTTTTTGATGTGATTGTAAAACCATGACTTCATGGTCGGTATATCTATCACTGGTGGTTGTCGCATTCGGAGTGGGCTGTCAATGATAGACATCTCGATACCGTACACATTGTAGTGGTCATGAGTGCTTGCAAACACTGTCGAGAGGATCTCTGTCGTATGAACCACGGTTATTGCTTTGTGTCCAACCGAAGCGTAGGGTAGTTGGAAGTTCAATGTGTTGCTGTGACGGCTTAAGAATCCGTAGATGGTCTTTCCAAAGAAACAGGTGCCGACAGCTGAATGATGATCCGACAAGTTGCCCTAATCAGTCTCAAGGGTTGATGAGGCAGTCTGTTAACCTATGACGGCGTTTCTTGAAGTGTCGTAAATACGGTGTAATGGTGTTTGTGCTTTCCGGGATGCGATCTTTGCCAAGTGACCTTGTCCCTTGACTTGTCGAATGAGTGTGAGCAACTCAAACTCGAGTCGATCTTCCTCTAAGCTTCATGGTATGGTGCAGTATCCGTCTGCAGCACCAAAATGAATAAGGAATGGGATAGGAAGCTGATTGCAGATAGCTAAACATGCTGCTTGTGTAGTGTTAAGCTAGTTTCTTGTTGTAGATTCAATGATAGATGCCAGAATATAGTAAGCTACTATGAGCGGTAAGTTGAAGAGTTGTAAAGTCCAGAGATTTGAGTCTGCTTTTGTCCCTGAGGTAGCAGTTGTTGAATAAATGAAAAAGGCAATTGACCCCCCTCCGCACATCAATGTCCGAGAGCAAAAGTGCTTGAAGCTGTTCGGAGTCCAAACTAAGGCATGGAGGCATGTGGATAAGAGTTGAGGTCACAGCCGAGTACAACAGCACAAAAGAAAAAGAAAAGAAGAAAAAAGATTCAACAAAATATGACAAGATCACGATCGCAGTAAAGAACTGGATTAAGAAGGTCCCGGGATGTTGGGGGCAGGTGGTATTTTGTTTTGTCAAAGTCGGGGGTCGTAAGATGGGAGAGAATCAAGATAGCCGCTTCAGGACGTCGGTAGCCGAGGGTTAGCTCGCCTCGAAGATTCGGGATTGGCGTTTTGGTGGAAGCCAAAAGCCGAGCAAGGGTGGTTTATTTGATTACCTGCCATTTTCTGTTGGGCTACTTGAAGCACAAAAATGCAGGGCGAGGGCGTGTGGCATAAGACATTTAGGTCAGGAGAAAGGAACTAGAGTGCGTTTTATTGGATAACTGATTTTTTCCATGCTTGTGCAAGGTTTCTTTGTGTTCTTTCTTCAGCGACATTGGGGGTTTGTACTTCTTGGGTGAGGACCGTGATATGGAATCGCTACTGCAAGGTGGACCCCAGGACCCAATTTTTGGCCTTTCGTTGATACCGGAAGATACGGGAAACTTGAGAGTTGGTTCTGGCAAAATAGGACATTTAATGTGTTTTTGTTGTATAGAAGATGACGGCGAGAATCTCGATGGAGATCCGTACCATGCTTTCATGTCGTTTATGTCGAGTCTTATAGGTCGTCTACCGATAGACACCCAAACGCAACAGAAGGAAACATCCATACATAGACACAAGTCTTGTACAGCTGGCAACACGAATTCCAAGACGATATTAGGCGGGTCGACGGAAACTTGACTGTGCTATGGAGCGTTGACTGGATTCAATAGACTCTCGCTTCACTAATCTTTTACGTGTATGGAGTATCTGGACACAATACAATGGGACTGTTGAATAGCATGATGCCAACTTCCAACTTCGACCAAAGCCTGTTCCTAGACCGGTTCAACGCATGAACCACTTGGAGGTCTTCAGTAGTGTAACGGGCAGGGAGTTTGTTGAAAATTTCAACATGACACTGACGTGGTTGCTGATGTATCAATTATCGACTGCGGACGAGACGTACATGTATGTATGTACAGATGGGGTGTTGAGCGAATGTCCGAGAAAATAGCGAGGGATGTGACATTGTCTCGAAATGCAATGGATAATAGGAGAAGTCTCGTCAGCTCATATTTGTTTATGCCAAAACCACAGCTATATACGTAATTCATTGTAAACACTGAATTTGTGCATCTGCAGTATGATTTCCATGTCGAAGTTTTGGCCAGTGTCACCAAAAGGATGTCTTTTTAAAAATAGTTCGCGAAAGAATGTCCCAAGACGGGAGATCGCACATCATCTCTAACTCAGGAGTAAACGCTAGCAAAATACGACCGGCATTGTCAGAAAGAACTGAAAAGACAACCCGCCAAAAGCCGGTTAAAAGTTCAATTCTCTGCCGGTCGTGGCTTTAGCCCTGCTGCAGATGCAGCTGTAGCTGCATCTGCATCTGCATCGGCATCACGATGGCTTTTTTAAACAGCACGAGACTGAGCATGCGTTACAAAAGCTCAAGCTCAAGCCCTCTTGGCACCCAATGAAGGAGGACAGATAATGTGTTGAAGGGCTGTAGTGTAAGGGTAAAGATTGGTCGGATATTATTTACCGCCCCCCTTCTTTTCATCCGCAGGTGTACGGCTCGGTATGTGACCGATGGGGGGAGGTGATCTCAGGACAGGATCCGACCGGAGGTACCGGGGCCGGAATGGGTCCCACTGCGGATTACGCTCCGCTGGAGCTTTAAGACCTTCGGTGGTTGATTTGCATCGCGATGTTGTGGGCATCCCACCGCATCACATCCCTGACGTCTTTCCGTCTCACCTTTGTTAGCTCGTTTCTCAAGCCAAATTGGTCCTTCACCTTGGATTTAGGCGGTCACGGACTTGGTGTATCAGCGCAGTTAATACCCCGTCCCCACTGACCTTTTACAACCCGCATGACCTTGAGAAACACGGTGAAGGTCAAGATACCAAGCGTTTTGAGCGATGGGAGTGTGAGGGTAGACCAGACCAAGGCAAGTGGAGTGAGAATAAATCTGCTGTCTCGCATCAGCTCGAATTGCAGGTACAGTACTTTTTGCAGCTGTGTGTCGATATGCACATGCAAGCACGGCACGTACGAACTTGTGATGGCGATTAAGCATGTTCATGGAGCCAAGTTGTATTCGATCGACTTGTCTCATCAACATGATATGACTAGCCATGACAAGACACCTGGGAACACTTCTTTGGTTTTCCATTGTTCTTGGTATTAGGCCATGATGCTGTATCTGCATACACCGTTTCGAAAATAAGTTTTGCAGACTGCAGGCGTCCCACCAACTCGTGCATCACAGTGAATATTAACAGCGGTGTTGATCTTCCGTCACCCCCCAGATAATTCCACTGAATTGAGTGTTGTAAGTGGAATTGGAGTTTGAGCAGAGATTTCACTGTGTTATGATTCGTTGATCAGGTCGTCTTGGCTTCTGGTTTGGATAGCCGAGCATAACCGACTAATCTCCTCTATTGGTCAAATTGCATGACGTAAAAGCTGTTGATGTTGCCTGATTGGATCAATGCACGCCCGGATTCATCCCTGTTGAAGAGGGCTGCGCCGGACCAAAGGGACAAGAACCGTTTGAGGCTGCATGTTTGACATGAACGTCATCGTCTTTGACTCGACGATGATTCGAAACGCTCGAGCAGCTCAACGAAGATCTTTAAAGATCAACGTAGGGAATATAAATACATTAGAAGAGGGTGGGTCTGTCGAAGGAGACGCTTTGATAAACTTCATGATAGGACGGTGAGGGGATCTTGAGACTACGGAGTAGAAGTGGATCTGAGAAAGACCGCACTTTCCTGCTCGTGAACCATGAGGATCCTAGTAACTCTGGGGTACCTTCCTTTGCTGAGATCAGGTCCTCCTGTCTCCCAGGGTTGTCAAACATCAGCACTGTGACTGGCCTTACTGTGAGATCTATGACGAGAAGGAAAGGGCGGCTCGCTAATACATTCTTCTTCTTCTTCTTCTTCTTCTTCTTCTTCTTTGCTACCATTCTTTTACAGGCCGCATTTGTGAGTTTCAACGGCCTCGTGATTTGAATGCGCCAACCTAAAGTGAACCTTTCCAGTTTCAAAGACACGCCCCCCTTCCCTCCAAGCTCTCTAGGCGGCTGACTCGATGTGGTAGGCGAGGTAGGATGGCTACCATCGATGATTGGCTTCTCCACACTTTTACTGACAAATTGTGGGGGACAGGAACAGGACAGGGTCGGAAAGGACAAATCGGGCAGTTACAACGGGAGCTGGGGACGGCATCTTCCTTCACTTTCGGGCGTCGTCACCTCAAGGGGGATTACTGTTGAGTTGGCTTAACATGAAGCTATTGGCTGCAGTACTGATTCTCCAGTTTCATCAAATACTGATAGTGGAGCAAGGAGATGTATGCGGTGGTTTACAGCAGTCATGAAAGATGAGGGACAATGTGGGTACATCTCACTCCAAGTCAAAGTCGGGGTAATGTTTGGAGAACTTTTTTCTTTTTTTCTTTTTTTCACTACACCTTGTCTCACCGTCTTGGACGAACACACATACGATTCGTTACGGGAATTCCTTCGACTTGGACAAGATATTCGCTTACATCTGATAGTGCTTGGACCTTGTGCTAGTCAATTGCTTGTTTTGCTAGCAAGTAGATAACGTAGTACTTGGTCAAGAACATGTGATTGCTTTGCATTGCTTCAGAAGATCAACGACTGAATATGCCCAATGGCGTCAGCGTCGCCTTATCATTACCCCGTACTCTGAAGGTCGATTGGAGCTAAGCTTGATGACCCAGACATACGGTAACGGTGGCTATAATGCCCATGTGGTTCTGACATTTGGCTGTCTTCAAACACCAAGAATTATTGTGACGCTCATACTCACGTGGGGGTTGTACATAACATCCATCTTACGAGAGAGGCATGCCTGACAACGTACAAGCTCGTTACCCCAGATCTCCTAGGGCAGTGCAAGAATGGACCCCAGAAAAGGACCTATTCATTGTTGAGGACAACATTCAAGTACTCCTCAGGTCGTAGAGTTCCCCGGTCGTGTCCAGTCCGTCCATACCTGGGGCATGATTTCAACGCTAGCCCCCGGACCAACATCCATGGCTGGACGCGACGGTGGATGGTATAGCCTAAGAAAGAGACCTGCATTTGGTCCCCCCGCCGGCGCCAAGAGGCCAGTCTCGACGCCCTGGTGGCTGATTTAAAGTGAAAATTAGAAAAAAGAAGCGAAGCGAAGGAGCGCACGAAAATGTCAAATCCCCATGTTTGTAGAATTTTGATTCACTGTTGCAGAGATCTATAACTGCTCGTATTTGTGTATGTAAATCGACAACTCAACGATGTGATGCATAAATACATGCCCGGATTCGGGAAGCGAGGCATGTAATCCAACAAGGTGTCGACTGGTTTTGAGTTCCTTGAATAGAATGCCCAGACTTGAGGCGCTTGGCCATGTGATCCCAGACTTGAAATTTAAAGATCCATGACTGGCATCGATTGTTTGTTCTGATATTAGCCCACCCACAGTTCATGCTTACATCTCTCTTGGCTTGCCACAATTCAAGATAATTCTATAGAAATTCACTGCCATTATGCACACCGGGTAACAGTTCCCCGTCATGGCCGATGGAAATCCCCACACGGCACCCCAATAACCATTGCCAATGTTACGGTGGCACCTCCAGAGTGTTCTGTCCTGTCTTGTGGTGGGCTAGGGAGCAGCGTTACCAGCTTGGACCCAGGTCTCCGCTTACAGTATCCATCATCCAGGTTCCTCGCTGTGGGTTCGATAGGCCCACCCTCTGATGAGCCCTGTCCTCTGCGCTCAAACGCCATCGACACCCTTACCCAGAGCTCAAATGCCTCGTACATTCTTGTACCGTACACACCCTCCTCCACTTGCTCTCTTTGTTGCTGTTCTTGACCTTTTTGACTATTTCATCGATCAAACTTGTCGAGTCCCGCTCCGTGACGGTAGACCAGACTAACCATGAGAATATAATAACCATCCACACCCCCACCTGTTTCCCCCGGATTTCCATCCCCTTGGCTTCATAATCTTCACGTACCTACTTCACGAGACAAGACATTTGCTCTTGTTCGTCCTTGACCGTGAACTGTCTCTCAAGTCTTCTATCCTAGAAGGGTATTGGTCATTCATATCAACTTGCACCTCAAATATTGATATCGACATTTTGAGCTTGAGCTCGCTCGCACCCACAGACTCATCTACTCTCCACTCATCCAACTCAAGTAAAGGAATGATTACGACAAGATCTAACCAGCAATAAATCCAATTGAACTTTCACGACAACTACTCAAAACTGTTATTCAAACAAATCTCCACTCTACCGCTCGCATCTTGTCATATCGGACATTCAATGATTTATAGCTACGACACCCATCGCCTCACTCCAAGTTAATCTTGACAGCCTTACCTCCATCATATCCGAACGCGTTCAATTCAAATATCTGTAACACTGGATACGACGCTACTACGTCTACACGACACAATTACTCACAGTCATACCACCGCAACCATGGCTATGACAACAGAATCATCACAAGGCGCGGCTGCTCCTCCATCGCCAACGTCAACATCAAAGATGGCCCCCGAGAAGAACAGCAAAAAGCGTTCCTCACCGTCAGGCGACTCAGATCAACCAGAGAAGATTACGAAGCGACGCGCTGCCCGCGCTTGCGTGTCGTGCCGAGCACGAAAAGTTCGATGCGACGTCGTTGAGGGCGCTCCCTGTGGAAACTGCCGTTGGGATAACGTCGAGGTACGTTTCTCGATCTCGATTGTTGACCGCCAGAGTCAATTCAGTCTGGGTTTAGAAAGCAGTGACTGACAGTTGAGCAGTGCGTTGTCCAGGAAAGCCGAAGAAGAAAGTGAGTGAATCTCCTGTTTGGTCATGGTTCACATTGCGAACTCCAGTTCATTCAACCGATTTCCGGTATAACTGGAGATCGTGAACCAGGAATGCATCATGAAAAACAGCACAATCGAATCAAATTTGAGAGTTGCGTTGAGTTTGGGTCACTAACGATCATTACAGGAAGAACCTTTACACGGCCAGCACCGCAGGCCAGTCTGTCTCCACAGAAGCCCAGTTGCGCTGCAAAACAACACCATCAGTTAGCAACCCCACAGGCCCAAGTGCCAGTGCCAGCAAGAGCGCAAACCCAGGCATAATAAGCACGGCCGATCTTCGACGACCAAGCAGTGGCTCAGTTATTTCATCAAGCAGCATCGACGGGCCCAGCACTTTTCTCAATAGCTCCGCACTCGACAGCCATGTCCCTCACATGATCTGTAAGTTTTTTCCTGCTATTGACAGCGATACGTTGCACTACGCCTCTAGCCTTTAACCCTCATTTTCTGTGCGCTCCGCTTTGCCTTAGCCCTCTCAATTGGCTATTATACTTTCTTTTTTGGGGGTAATATCCGTTCTCCGCATTTTCAGCCGCCGCCCCCTGTACCCCACTGTTCACAGGGGACCTGGACATCATGTTTACGCTTACTCGCTCGATTATACCCCTCGATCACATGGGAATTGGACAAGTTGCAACTTGGAGGGACTTTGGCTGACCACGAGACCTTAGATCAACGATCTGGCTACCGCCGAGACTCGTCTTCCCTTAACAAGGTGCACCCAATAGAATCCAGCGCCCATCGTTCGTCATGGTCCAGTATTATCCCAGATCCTGCCTTCTTCGATTCACTACGCAACACTCAGCTGTTCGGTTCTCTTGACGAGAAGGAAATCCCAAAGCCTCAGTTTCCTTCGTTTTTGCGACCTCTGCCGAACAAGATTGCACCTGAAGATGTTGATTATCTGAAGATCAAGGGTGCACTTTCAGTGCCTACCTTGCCACTACAGAATGCCTTACTCCAGGCTTACGTTGAATATGTGCATCCTTACATGCCGCTTATGGACTTGAACTCTTTCCTTGGTGTTATCAGCAGCCGTGATGGTCAAAATGGCCAGACCAGTCTCTTCCTCTATCAGGCCGTCATGTTTGCAGCGTCAGCGTTCGTTGACATGAGGTACCTCAGAGAGGGTGGTTACACAACACGGAAAGCAGCCCGCAAGTCCTTTTTCCAGAAGACAAGGGTGGGTGACAAATCCGACCACATGGTATTGGCTTATACTAACTTGCCAATAGCTGCTGTACGACTTTGATTACGAGTCAGATCGTCTTGTGCTTGTGCAGGCACTGCTTTTGATGACATACTGGTACGAAACGCCAGATGACCAGAAAGACACATGGCATTGGATGGGTGTGGCCATTTCACTGGCACACACCATCGGTCTTCACCGCAACCCCGGATCCACGAGTATGGCACCAGCAAAGCAGAAGCTCTGGAAACGAATCTGGTGGTCATGCTTCATGCGAGACCGTCTTATTGCACTTGGAATGCGACGTCCCACACGTATCAAGGACGAGGACTTTGACGTTCCCATGCTTGAAGAGAGCGACTTCGAGATTGAGATGCTCCCCGAGAGCAACACTGTTATCCCTAGCACTTGCGCATTGGTTCGCAACACTGATATGCAGCGAGAATTGGCTACTATGTGCATTGCCAAGGCCCAGCTCTGCGTCTGCATCAGCCGCATGCTCAAGGCGCAATACTCTGTTTTGATCCGGGATAAAATGAAGCCGGAAAACACCACCAACAGCACAATGATGCTTTTCCCTAATAAACAGCTGGACAACGTTGAGAGCGTCACCGAGGTAGATCACGAACTCATGGCATGGGCTGAGTCACTTCCAGCCTGCTGTCAATACCGCACCCTGACACCCTTGGATGTCAAGGACGGACGATCGACGGTTGCCGTGCAGCGAACACTGCTACATATGGTCTATTACACCACCATTTCAGCTCTTCACCGTCCTCAGTTCTTGCCATCGTCGCCTCTCCAGGCTCCTACAACATCTCGACAAGTCCAGGATATGTCTCGATTGCGAGTGCGCGATGCCGCCATGCACATTACCCGAATGGCCACTGAGCTTCACCAATACCGTCTAGAGCGCTTCTTACCTACTACTGGTGTCACGGTCATCCTCCCTGCCATGATCATCCATCTCCTTGAGATGAAGAACCCTGCTCCCCAAGCTCGGGAGCGTGCCACGCGAGGATTCCGCCAGTGCATGCGAGTTATGGAGAAGCTCCGGGAAGTGTATGCTGCCGCCGACTACGCAACTGGTTTCCTCGATGCCGCTCTCCGCAAGGCTGCTATCGATATCAACTCTAGCGTTGCTCCCTCTACGTTGGCCATGATGAAGCGTGTGCCAATCGAGTTTAGTGCCCAGACACCACCCCCAGAGAACGCGCCATACATGACTGCTTCCGAGTCGCTGTTCAACGAGAGGCCCAAGGAGGCTCAGCCTGCGGCAGCAACGCCTACTATGATGCCACCAAACACTGTCAACGCTGCAGCTCTGGAGATGCCTACGCAATCACCACCCACAACGGAGATGGATTCTCCTGCCGCTGGATTAACACCTAGCGTCAGCGCTGGCTCTGAAGAGATTCAGCTGGATGTTGGCAACATGGACCTTGATTTCATGCAGGGCCATGATGAGTTTGACTGGAACGCTGTGGCCGGAACTGATTTCGACGTTGACCAGTGGCTCCAGTTCCCCCCCGAGGGCGTCAACAACCAAGACGACAACTTGATCGCTGGCGTATTGGGCGTTGAAGAGCCTACAATGTCTGCCGAGCAAGCTCTGACCTGGGCCATGAACGCTGAGACAGACGTAGCAGCTCGTCAGCCTGAAAACCGCGACATTACCGCGTCGGCATAGAGCTCCAAAGTTCGTGCTGCTATATTCACATAATGTTGGATGTATCACTTTTTGGATTGGGCGTCATATTTAGTTCTTTCGTGTTATCTGGTGTACATGCCTGTACTGCATTAGAGACGGGCGTTTTTTGAGCGCGGGCTCCGACCCTAGGTGGCGTATGTTTTTTTTTCTGGCGTGGAAACGATGGGTTTGTCTTGGATATGGGTTGTGTTTCTGAATGGCACGAACAAAAAGTAACGCTCGATATGACGGTTGATGAACACATTGACTTTTTTTGGCGTTGGATATCACGTACAGACTAGGAAGAGACGCCTTCAGGGGCTCAAAGTCTCTCTTTGATGGTGGACTTTTATGTCGCCTTTTTTAGTTTAGTTAACAGATAAGTTGATGACAAAAGTTGTATTTAATTTTGAGCATTCTTGAAGCTGATATGAATTTGTAAGAAGAATGTGATTAGAATGTGAACCAAGCTATGCCGAGATGGAATGAGGCTCGTAAGCTGATGAACACTGGTTCCAACTACTAACCTACCACGCAACAACAAGGGTTATTGTGCTACTACTGTAGTTGTTACTACGACTTGGTGAGGACCATCGGGTACAACGATCTGCAATGCCAGAACGTGTCCAACCTCAATTGCCAACAGCTTTGTACTGCAGTGGGGCGGCGTAGCTGAGAACATGTGAATGTCTCACCAGGAAGACCCTACTTACAGGGGAGGGCCATGGAGCTTGAAAAATGGGGTAGTAGATGGATGCTCCTAGTCACAGACGAGCTTGGGCTTTGCTGCACGGCATACTGATAGAATTGAAGCAGATTTAGAAAAAGTCAGAGGCGAAAGCAGAATCAGTAAAGTGTAAAGTAAAAGTACGCGAAATTGGACGGCTGTTGTGGATGGCGTATTGGGTTTGTTGGCATTCTTTAATTACCGTCATGACGGCTGACAGGGTGATGATTGACAGGGGTGAGTAGCTAGCCTCGAGCTATGAGCTACGAGTAGAGTTGGGGTCTGGTGGTGATGAAATGATTGGCACGAGAGAGACAGAATGTGCCGGATGGAGAAATGGCTTTGATAGGAATGGGATACACAAGTTAATAAGTCTTGAATTCTTTTATTACACCATTTCAATTGTCTTGAACTAGCGTTGAGTCAAGTTAGCACAGGCACAATCACTTATCATTTGCTGCAGATCTAGACACTATTCAGGAACAAAAAGTAAATAATGGTCAAAGAGTAAAGTCTATATGAATCTATCTATTCATTCATAACTCTCCTGCCACCCCCTGGTCTTGTTGTGCAGGGCAATCAAGCTAAGTCTTTCGCTTGGTCGTCAACCGGGTATCTGAAGCGGATCATTCAGGCCAAAGCGAGATCTCCTTTTTAAGTTCTTTTCTTCCTGCAAGCAAGTTTTTTTCGGGTTTCCCTTAGTCAAGTCTTGGCCTTAATGAGTTTGTGTGGGAGGCGACCAAGAGCCGGAGGAATTGTGATTATGGGGCCAGAACCAGAACAGGCGAGATGAGATGAGATTGAGGCGAAGGGCAAAGGGCAAAGGAGGGGAGGGGTCCCTTCTTATTAATTATACATGTACAGTTACGTTACTATGTATAGGTTGTTGGCTGGTCAGTACGTATGTCAACCATGTTGCCCTTGTCGTGAGGGCTCATTTCTTCCTCCTTTCAACCAACCTAGCCTATCTCATCTCATCGACTGAACCTTGACCAGACATCATTTCTTTTCCCTTTGAATATTCTATTCTGCGACTATGGTTATTATTCTCTGTCTACTTGGCATCTGCTTTTTATACCTCATCCGTCAATGGTCATTTTATGCTTCTATGCCTCTTCATCATCCCTGAGACTCTATCTACACATTTAATCAGCTGATACACAAAGTGGTCACAGCTTCAAACAAGCAAACAAAGCTCTGTTCATTGTATAGCTCCAGCAAAAAGCCGATGAGCTTGGTTCTTTAACGGGGCATTCCTTGCATCTTTCTTCATCATTCTTTACTGCCATTAACCTCATTTGTTTCGTCATATCTCTAATTCGTTCATTACATTCTCGACACACACTCTCTCGTCATTCGTCCACTTTTCATCGACGACATCTTGGCCTAATCCGGCTATCACATAAGTTGCAACAGCCAATTTATCACCAGCTGACATCTTGTTGACTTTGAGCGACGTCAAATCTACGATTATCCGTCTACCCGTCTTGTGTCTGTCTGTTTGTCCTCTGTGTTCGGGACGTACGGAGCATTGGATCAAATCAATCTGCAACCTTGGCTTACCACGACGAATCAAGCCACTGAACCGAACTGGTTTGGTCGTATTAGTTTTGGATTTATTTAAAAAATCAGGGCGCTAAATACCTGGGCAAACTCCATCGTCCAGCGTAAAACCTCACTTATTACAGGCTTCTCAGCTGCAGCAGGATCCACGACTTTGCTGCACCGCGACGGGACCTGACCGCGACGTGGCCCGCTCTCCGTCCACTCAAGAACCTCCGATCGAGACCTCAACCTCTACTTAATATTTATCACTCCAACCTCTCCGCCAGGTCAATTTTTGACCGCCATCTTAGCATCGGCGATTACTTCGTTTCTCTTTCGCTCCCTCGTCTTTCAGAGTGGCCTAGCAAAAGCCCTCTTTGTCGCTCCTTTTTTAAACCTCTTGTCGACTTGTCATCCGATTACTTATCCCTACTTTGTAGTAGAAGACATCTGCGTCACCAACCACTTCACCTCTTTTAAAGCACTGAGTTGTTTTCCGACCCGCATTGGTATCCTTGCTGCATCGAACAAGTATCTTCACGTCATCACGCTACCAATCAGACCTAAGAGAAAAAGAAAAGAAAGGAAAAAAAGAGAAAGAATAAAAAAAGAGACCTAACGACTGACGGCGACCAACTTGACGACTCTTACGTATCTTCCTCTTCGACATGGGCATCAAAACCGTCACTGTTTCCCGCCCTATCGACCTGTCCCCAGGCTCCTAGACAGATCATGATTCTACGATTCATCCATCCGACCCCCGTCTGTCTGTCTGCTGGATAATAGAATTACCAATAGTAGCCATGAGCGATACACCTACGCAAGTCGCCAGGCATGCGCGCCATGCCCATGCCCATGCCCATACCACTTCCACTTCGCCGCCGCCGAGAAACAGAATTTCCGATGATATACTTGCCAATCTCGGTCCGCGCAATGTTGTCGATGCTCTCAATACCGCTACCGGTGCCCTGAGGGCATCGCTCGACAAATTTTCTACCACCGATCGAGAATTTACTATGCGAACCGCCCTTGCGTCGCATGCTATTTGGGTATGGCTCGAGGAGCTACAATCTTGGCCATGGCCGTCCGGGTCAGGCTCTTCCGGTTTTGAGATACCCAGTGAGGAGGAGCGCAAAAAAACAACGGCGCAGCTCTCCGTGCCTGAAGAGGGAGATGACCAATGGATGGGGAGTTTGCTAGCTCGAGACGTAGCAGCATACGACCGGAGGGTCGCTGATATCCAACGTGATTTGTCAGATCTTGGTATCGAGGATATTAAGACACACATTCGCATGAACCACATCGATCCAATGTCCCGGCCAGGCACTCCGCTCAACGAATTCAATGCAGCAGCACAGCTCTCACGTTCCAGCTACAGTCGCATGGAAGACCACACAGCGGTGATCATGACGATTGTCATGCATGCGCTACCCGTTTTAAACAACCTGAGACGCTTATTGCAGACCTGGGACTTGCGCCTTTGCGCCTTACGCCGTGTTCCAACCCTACTACTTGCCCTAGAGGACGCTGAAGTCGCTCTGCAATCCGCCTTCAAGGCCATTTCTCTACATACAAGAGATACACCACAAAAAGATGACGGTTCCTCACAAGATTCGACACTTACAAGAGAAACTTTCGACGTCATGAAAAAGCATATCGAGCAATTGATTGCACGTCCGGGTCGATCTCTTGACTATATGCTCGACTGCTTAGAAGGTCTATCTGACACCCTGCCCGGGGACTGGCTGGACCGTATGGAAGCTGTCGAGTCGAGTTATAGTGACTGGGTTGTCGTGTGCGAAAAGAAGATCCGGGAGACTGAGCGGAACACCCCTGCACAACCTGACCCACCACCACAACCCACAGAACCTCCACGATCACCGTCACCAGTCAAACAAAATACAGAAGCGAAGGACCCTGCTGTACTTGGTGAAAGGGTGGTCGCCAACGAATCCTATAGCGATGATGACACCCCTATCAACGCCAGCACGCGTGTTGTGCCGATCCCATTGCTTCTACCGCCCAAGATAATCAGGAGTGAATCATCTGATGACGTTAGCACGTCTATGGAACCCATAAAGTCCAGAGTTCCTTCTGGCTTGTCCGAGGCCGACACTATCGTGCCCGGATGGCACAAGAGAGATAGTTCATCAGAAAGTGAACCCGAGAGCCCCCCATCATTTCTTCCCATCCAAGAGGTCGACGAGACCTTTGAGGAAGAAAATGATACCTTTGATGGAGCTAGGGACGTCATGCCCGGCACGCCTAAAGCACCCATACAGAGCATCGAGCAGGACCTGATCTCCCCAACAGACTTGACCCGTACCCCTGAGACCCCTGATTTCAACTACAGCTTCTCGCACGACTATGATCGGGAAATTTCCCCTGAACTACCACCTCTTCGCCCTCTACCTCTGCCCCGACCAAGAATGGATCCAGCTCGACAGCTTGCCGTCCGTTCATCAAGCATGAACTTTGCAGCCTTGTCTAGCGACCCTCCTGAGGTATCCGGCTCTCCAGATCTGCCTAGAACTCGAATCCGCGAGGCCGAGTACTTCCAAGCAAGCCCGCCCAGTTCTCCACCCACGGACTCAAGGCTGGCACCCCTTGGCAGCCCTTTCCTGGGACCGGACCGTACTGTTGATGACCTTGATATGTCACCCATGCAAATGCAACAAATAGAAGAGTCTTTCGAGGACGAGTTTGATGACTCTTTTTCAATCTCAGAATATCCTACTGCTTTTGAACACCGACCTAGTGCCGGTGACCAGCATCTTCAACAGCAAATCAGCGACATTATCAGTTCCATACCCGCAAAGATCAAGCTATCTACCGAGCAGTCCAAGGTCAACCTCAATCCCCCTGACTTGCAGTTACCGCGTGTCAGGAAGCGGCCCTCTATCGAACCATTCCGAAGGAGTACATCGGGTCTCTCCTCTACCTCTAGGGCGGGCACGCCTTCATTCACTCTTTCGCCAGTAAAGAACACCAGGGTGCGAAACCGCGGACACTCGGAGATTAAGGTCTATCATCTGTCTAGATCAACTGGTGAAGCCCCGATCAAACTCTTCATCCGCTGTGTTGGTGAGCAGGGAGAACGAGTCATGGTTCGCGTGGGTGGTGGCTGGGCCGACCTAGGTGAATACCTCAAAGAGTATGCAAGCCATCACAAGCGACGATCTGCTGCAGCCAATGCCAAGGTAGAGGTTCTTCCAGAATCACCTAATTCGCGAAGAACGAACGTTGGCTCGAGCCCTGGAGGTCGACCCCAATCTGCTGTGGAAACGTCTCCCATGTCACCTCTATCCGTCCGTAAGACGCGCCGGAGTGTTGGTGCCATGGGCAGCGAAGCACCTCAGCTGGGCTATGGAACACCCGGGGATGAAGGCCCCTCAGAAGTCTTTGGCCGCTCGAGATCGAACTCTCACCTCAGCTGGAAAGAGGACGATAGTTCTTTCCTTGGACTTGCGGGACCTACCGGCAAGAAGGTTGAGATGAGTGAGGAGAATAAGGCATGGGTTGCAAGCGTTAAGGAAAAGGTCAGAATCGCTAGTACCGGTGAACGAAGAACATCATCGACAGCCGGCCAGTTTGGAGAACTTGGCAAAGTCGGTGGCACGAAACGACTATTCCTTAAGTCTGAAGACCGTCGAGAATCGAAGGGAGGTCGAGAGTCGAGAGGAGGTCGCGAATCGCGAGGAAGTGTCAGATGAAGTTGACATGAAGCCACGAACACCTGAGTCTCTGCTCTTTTCACTTACGCATACACACACGCACACGCATACACCTTTTTTCTACCTACGAACCTATCAACCTGAGCAATAGAGCATGCCACAACGCCTTAACGGGGTACGACTTTGCTTTGTGGAGTTGGGGCACAACTGGCACTCATGTCCTGCATGAGCATATCATCTGAATTTATTTTTTTCTTTGTTATTACACGGCACGATCTTTATCGGGGGTGGAAACGAGGAGGAAGTAGATAGTCAATACCCAAAGATTTTCCTTTTTGTCATGAATTATTAGTTTAGAGCATCTGACACGTGAATGACATGAATCGCAACAGAGATTTGTCCTGGTCACATATTTGAGACGGGCGCGGTCATACTTGAATCGATGCTTAATTGTGTTGCTTAACAAAAGAAATGTTCATTTGATTCCATAGCTGTCCGTAACGGCAAAGACATGTGTCGTATCATAGCTTGGCCTAAAGCCTATCCATAACCAGATCCTTTCCTGCCAGACCCAATGCACCCGTTTCCGATGTCCGCCTTTTTGTACCTTCTCAATACGTTTGTATCCGATCCTATTCTTTTTGATATTTTATGATTTTGTTTTTGTTTAGTCCTCTTCAGCATTTAGCTTGCGAGCGATACGTCGTTTACCCTTTCCTCCTGCGGGGTTACCCTTAAAGTGCTTCTTGCTGGATGCCGTTGCGACCTCCTTGGGATCGAGGCCGTTCTCGAGAGCGACCATTGTGCGGGCCTTTCGGCCTGACAGGTGCTTGCCTGCTAGAGGGTCCGCCTTGCCTTGGTCTGAGTATTGGTAGTTGAAAGGCTTGCTAACATGGCCCTGGTTGTCACTAGGACCGAAGAAACCCTTGTCGATCTTCTGGGACTTGGGGCCAGCGGGAAGAGGAACGTCGACGGTCGAGGCCAGGTCTACAGCCTCATCGTTGTCGGCAAGGAAAGGTTCGCTGCTAGCTGGGTCAACGATAGAGAGCTGGTTCATAGCAGCGGACAGTGCAGCACGTCGCTTCTCAGGGAGATGCTCCTGATCGTAGAGTCCACGGTTGAAGTCGGCAGCATCGTCGATTCCAGGAGGTGGTGAAACGAAGAGCAGCTTGCCGCCCACGTAGTCCTTGAGTATGTAACGAGCAGCTCGAGATTCATCAGGCTGACCAAGACCTTGGGTCTGGAAACCACGGGCACGGGCATACGAGCGTAGAAACTCGCTAGCGGTAGGGATTCCGGTACCACCCTCCTCGATGGCCCGAGTGCGGATGTGAATACCATAGATGGCCTCAAGGAAAGGCTGGGGAACTCGCTGAGTTACAAGACCAACGGGACCCAAGAACTCACGAAGCTGGTCGATGGGAAGGATACCGTTGCAGACAAGGTCGGCTTTGGTGGTGGCAAAGTTAGGGAAGACAAGACCGGGACAATCGCAGAGGACAACATCTGGGCTGAGGTGGATGGTCTGGAAATGCTTGGTCTTTCCTGGTGTTGACGAGACGGAGACCTTCTTTGAGCCGATAAGAGCGTTGATTGTGGACGATTTACCGACGTTGGGGTAACCGACTAAACCGACTTGTAATTTGTGATTCGCGCCTGTTGTCAAGTTAGTTGGAGCTCTTGTATGGTCGGTTGTGTTATTTCTTACCTGCGTCTGCAGGAGCGTGTTTCAGGAAGATACCTTCCAGTTCCTCGACTGTCAGGATTTGTGTATCGATCTCGTCTGCCTCTTCTGCAGCCTTGGCTTCTTGGTCGATTTGAGTCTCCTTGGGCTCCTCGGCCAGGGAAGCACCTTCTTGCTCTTGCTGACCACTACTCTCTCCTTGCTCCTCTACTGCTTCTTCAGCAGACTCATCATCTGAGTCCTCGAGATTCCTCGCCTCATTCTCTGCTTTGGCCAACTCGGCCGAGAAGAAACGATAAGCGATGCCTGCCTCCGTTAGGTGCTTTGCCCAAGCCATGCGCTGCTTTGGCGTCATCATATCTGCTTTGTTGATGAGGAGGAGGTTCTCCTTCTTGGGGTCAATCTCCTTGACGTAATCTTCGAGATCCTCTGAACGGAAAAGTAGAGGGTTTCTGGCATCGACAATCTGGACAATAAGGTCTGATCGTTCGATGACTCGCCAGAGTTGTCGCCAGACTTCCAAGTTTCGCTCAAAGGGTGTCATAAGAAGATCGTTGTTCTCCTGCAGCTCAGCTAAGCCGCGTCTCCAATTCAGGAAACTCTCTCGCTCTAGCCGGTCGAGCTCGTCGGGTGTTGTTGTGGAATCCCACTTGGGTCTTCGGGGCACAGAGAGACGACCCTTGTGCTGCTTGTGCTTTCCAAGAACAGCCTTCTCCTCTTGCGCTGAAAGGAGGTATGGGTTCTTCTGGTCTGTGTGGATGATCTTGACGTTGTTTGTCTTCTCAGCAGTGAAGTCGGTTCCCGCCAACTCGGCTGTGGCCAAAAACTCGTCGAGATCGCCTTGCTCCGTGACGGAGCGCATCTTGACCCAAGCAGCATCCTTCTTCTCGTTGACGAGGTATTGCTCGCCTGTAGCGTGGTTCGTTCTTGTGATGGCGGAGGTTCGCTTCCTGTCGGTTCCCTTGCCTTTACCGAAACGATCGTTCATGAGGGCGTTGCCCAAGCCGACCGAGTTCTTGGACTTTGCCAGAACCATTTTAGCAGTTTACTTTGAGATGTGGTTTAATGCACTTTTCGTCTTTGCAATACGAGGAATCTCTGTTCCAAGGCACGATATTTTAAATGAGGGTATAAGTGTTGTGTAAAGGTTTGGTTTGAGTTGAACTGAGAGAGGGCTGTAACGATCAACTGAGTGTGCCCCGCTGATTAATGACTGTTTCTTGGAGGGGCAAATGGAATTTTCGGGGGTCCTTGTCCGTATTTCAATTACCATGCTCACACTGTAATTTGTCTCAACACAATTAGGTTCTAGACTGTGTGAGTCAGTTTGCAGGGTATTGGATAACTGTGGATATCTCGATAAGCATTTTTTTCGTCACCCCGCTAGATTTTCTGTACCCGGATGAGTGTGATTGAAGCCCAACACTCACGCTCGTCTCACAACCAGATTCTTGTCGCTTCAAATCGCCAAGATGCCTCGAAAGTGGATGTAAGTGTCAAAATGACGGGATCTATATTTTCACATAATTTACTAATACGTTTTTAATAGCGACAAAAAGTCAGCACAGCACTTTACGCTGGTGCACCGACCGCAAAATGACCCCCTCATCCACGACGAAAATGCGCCTGCAATGGTGCTCAACCCTACTCAGACCAAGAAGGGATCTTCCAAGTCAAAGGACTTAGATGATCTCGCCTCCGAGCTCGGTTACGAAGCCGAGGGTGTCCGCGCGAATGAGGGTGAGGCAGCCAGCTATGGTGTCTACTACGACGATACCGAATACGATTATATGCAGCATCTGCGCGATCTTAACACCGGCGGCGGAGAGGTTGTGTTCGTTGAGTCTGCAGCCTCCACAAACAAGGGCAAGGGAAAGCAGAAGCAGTCGCTCGAGGATGCGCTGAAGAAGCTGGATATCGAGCAAAGTGCAGAGGATATTCTCGACGAAGATATCTTGCCGTCCAAGAACCTTTCAAGGGCCACATATGAGGCTCAGCAGGACATTCCCGATTCCCTCAAGGGATTCCAGCCCGACATGGACCCTCGTCTACGAGAAGTTCTCGAGGCTCTGGAAGATGACGCTTTCGTGGACGAAGATGATGACATCTTTAAAGAGCTAGCCAAGGACGGCCGAGAGCTGGAGGACTACGAGTTTGATGAGGCAGGGTTTGACGAAGACGATGGTTGGGAGTCGGATGCTACAGCAAAACCCACCAAGGAGTTCAAGGACGACGATGTGCCCCAGCTTTTGAAGCAGATGGAGCAGCCCGAAGAGGGCCCCTCTCAAGACTGGCTTGAGGACTTCAAGCAGTTCAAGAAGGAACACAAGGGTGCCAAAGCACCTGTTGCGCCATCGCAGTCCGAGGTGCAGTCGATGTGGACAACCACCACCAATGGTGGCCGCCGCAAGAAGAGAAAGGGAGCCCTTACCGACAACTCGAGTTACTCCATGAGTTCCTCATCTTTAGTCCGAACTGAGCAGATGACTCTCTTGGACGCAAGATTCGACAAGATTGAGGAGGCATACAATGAGGACATGGACGATGATATGCAATCAGTATCTGCTGTGTCCACCATGTCAACCGTTCAAGGGCCACTCCGCAGTGACTTTGACGGCATCATGGATGACTTCCTTGGAAATTTTACCAAGCCCGGAAAGAGAACGAATAAGAAGAACAAGGCCCAAACAGGCCTTGAGCAGCTGGATGAGATCCGACAGGGGTTGGGACCTGCTCGAATTCGGGGTCGCGTAAGGTAAATGTCGATTCAGTGCGAAATGGATAGAACAGATCATCGGGTGAATCTGTATGGGATACAAAAAAAAAGGAGTTTAGGAGTATTAATTACCAATGAAACAATTTAAAATTTCTTCTTTAATTGATATTTCTGAGCCGCTATTGTAAAGTACTCAACTGTTTCATCCTTCCTCATTGTCCTATGAATGCACGTCACGTGCTGGGTGGACCATTGTTGCAGACGAAAGCTCCCCAGAATGGGAACTAGCTTGATGGGCTCAATTCTACCTCGAGCATTCATTCATTCGATAACTAACCACCCATTTTACCATCATCCACGTCACGCCACGCATCCTGAGCGCTTCAACTTACCCCCATGTTCAAACGATCCCTCAGATGAGTGCGACATTTGTTGCATCATCAAACCAGATGTTCTCGGCTTTTGGTCAACCAACGCGGAGTCCTTCTCCAGCGTTTAATCCTTTCGCGACCAAGTCCAAAGACAAAGGAAGCGCATTCGGTGTTGACGGCGCGAGCGATTCTTCCAAAACGACACGGAATAAACGAACATCGGCTTTTGGTGACCATAGCGATAGCGAAGCGAAGCGAAAGGCCAAGACCGGTTTTAAGGGAAAAGATGCCAATCTGAGTGACGGAGGTGGTAGGCCCAAAACCCGTAAAGGTGACGACAAGAAGAAGATCAACGATTCAAAGAAAACCCCATTCGGTCCTGCCCCTTCTACCAAGAAACCTGCAGGTCAAAACGCGCGCAACAATGGCTCTAACCCATTCGCGACGACGCGTGATGAATCGCGACCAACTTCGTCATCAAGCGTCGACACCCAGGATTATCACGTCCCTGAAGCCCTCCATTCCGACGACCCTCATGCCAAAAGAGTATACGAGCAGTTGCGGAAAGATGGTATTCACCCTCCTCAATGGCCATCCCAACCTGGAAATCCTAAGAACAAGGGCGAGGTCTCGAAATTTCGCGAGAAATACGAAACCTACCGCAGCAAAGCACGCGCCTCACTCACAAAGGCTGGCCTAATCGACGACCCGGAAAAGCGAAAGACACTTCAAGATGCGATCGACTTCAAGGGTATCTGTGAGGATATGTGCCCCGAGTACGAAAAGATCACGCGAATCAACGAAATGGATGTTCACCAACCAGAGAAAAATCCCAAAACAACGTTTGCCAACACAAATCGCATGATCAAGAAGCTTGCCCGTTCCGCTGCTGGTCAAGAGGCGCCTCTTCCCATGGATGTTCGATCGATCCCGGCTCTCAAAAGGACGTTGGACTATCTTATTGATGATCTATTATGTGAAGACGGAAAACTACCAGGCTTGCATGGCTTCCTCTGGGACAGAACACGAGCGATCCGCCGAGACTTTACCTTCTTCTCATCCCTCACACCTGACGAAATGAAACTGCAAGTCTATGTTTTAGAGAACATTGCTAGGTTCCATGTCACAGCACTACATCTGCTCACTCAAGAGGGCAAAGCACCCGAAGATTTTGTGGAACAACAAGAATTAGAACAGCTTGGAAAGGCTCTGCTATCTCTCCGTGACGCCTACGATGACTGTAATGATCAAGGCATCAGCTGCGAAAACGAGCCCGAATTCCGAGCATATTATCTCATATTCCATGCATACGACTCAAACATTATCGAAACTCTCCAGCGCCAGTGGAAGCCAAATCTTTGGAGGGACTCTGATGAGGTTCGCACAGCAGTTTCGCTGGTTGAGGCTCTTCAGAACACCCAAGATTTCCATGGACCTCTCAAGGACGCACCATCATTAGCTGCATCATCAGCATATCAATCATATTTCCGAATTGTCGAGGATCCCAAAGTTTCTTACACAATGGCCTGCTTCGCAGAATGTCATTTTCCCAGACTCCGCCGTTGCATCCTATCTGCTATAAAACGAGGTCTTGCTCGGCCTCGCGAGACTTCCAAGGACGTCACAGCTGCTGAGTTGAACAAATTCCTTCGCTTCGATACAGTTGAGCAGGCGATTGAATTCGCAGAACTACATAATATTGAATTCGGTGAATGCGAAGAAGATCCTTCTGATCTCAGCCGCCAATACGCAAAGCTGGACAGTCGAGCTTCGTTGCCTCACCTTCGACTGCAGCATCAGTTCTCTCACAATCTGGTTGAAAAGAAGCGCGGTTCAAAAACCCTCCCTCAGCTTATTCACGAGACTGTATATCAAGATACGACTCTTGCCAAACCTGCAACTAACGGATTTGCTGGAGGAAGTGCTTTCACACCAAGTACTCAAGCTAACAACAAACCTTCGATCCCAACTGGACCCAAATCGACATCACCGAGTCCCTTTACATTGCCCAGCGCCTCTGGTGGATCTTTGGGAAATAATAAGGCTGTTAACGGCACCTCAGGTAAGACCCCTCCCCTACTGTTTACTGTACGCCAAAGATTCTGCATACCGTGGCTCTGCATATACAACTATATGTAAAGGCCTTTATTTTGCAGGCGAATAGGAAATCGCATTCAGCCGGAGACTCGATAAGCCATCGCTCCTGAGATATACTCAGAGCAACACCGTTGGCTCGAGATGAACCACTGGAAATCTGGCAAAGACACGCCTAAACCACTGGTTCTGACGTTTGTATTCGCTAGGGACTACATCCAACGGAACCACACCCACGAACGGCTTTGCTGTGCAACAACCAATATCACAGAAAAATCCTTTTGTTTCAGTCCTGGCTCCTTCAGCCAAACAGCCTGTTGGTAACCCATTTGCACCAGCCACTTCTGCATCTACGCCATCACTACCTGGCAACACCCCTGCTAAAACAGGCATCGGCTCTCAGCAGACACAGGCTCTTGGAACAGCACAACCTTTAAACCCGTTTGCCTCTTCATTCAAACTACCAACTACCACAGATGCACCAGCAACGAGTAGCCCATTCGGTCAACCTTTCACCTCCGCAAATCAAGAGACTGAACCGGCAACAAAACCGACGTTTTCCTTCCTGCCGGTCAAACCTATCTCAGCGACAGAAACCGCTTCTAGTAAGGAGTCGACAGACAAACCACAGAATGAATCTACAACAGCAGAGTCGACAAAGCCACCTACCATCAACTTCACCCCTCCTACCCCTCAACTATCTTCATTTCCCACTAGTACTACAATACAACCACAAAATCCATTAACGTCGAGCTCCAGTAACAGCGCAACGCAATCCACACCCACAACAGGGCTTGGCTTGGACAAATCTGTACCAAGTAACAAAGAAGTGCCTAAGCCAGCAACAAGCATCCTTGGCTCACAGCCGCCTGCTGCGTCAACACCTCAATTCTCGTTCCCATCCATTGGAACATCAGCTTTCTCAGCACCTCCTAAGAGCAGCGATGTATCTCAGCCCTCGACGGCCCTGGCACCCGTTCAACCACCAAAAGAGCCCAGCCCTCCTCCAGCACTGCCAGTTCCAGCACGTGATCTCTTTGGTGACTTCACTAAGTGGTTTGTTGTGGGCGACAACGGACTCATGGACGAGTTTCAAGCATTCATGTTAGACAACATTCTCCAGGGTGTATATCGAAAGTATATTCGAGACGAAGAAGCAAAGAGAAAGAAAGAGGAGGAAGAACAAGTCTGTGCAAAGGCGGAGCAATTCCGTATCTATAACCTATCAGTCAAGTACTTCTATCGTTGGAAGGAGATTGCACGCGATCGACGCCTGAGTCAGCTTCGTCGCAGTGGTCGAGAACAAATGAGAGCCTACTATGAGGAACAACGTGCAGCCCAGGCAAAGGTCCAGAAAGACGCTGCTCGTAGAGCGGCCCGTGAAAAAGCTGAAATCGCGGAATTGAACCGATCGGAAGAGTTGAAGGACTTTCTCAAGCACAAAAAGCCCAGCAAACGTCGCCAAGCAGAAGAGGAGAACGCACTACTCGCTTCTGGTGTTTTATCCGGAATCGACAACGAACAAGAAGCCATCACCAGGATCGTGCGTAGAGCGCCATCTGTTGCTAGTTCTGTCTCGAGTAAGCAGTCCAGCGCATCTTTCTCAAGAGGTGGCTCCAAAACCAGGGCTCTTCGGCAACAGTTCGCTGGCGACCAACAAGCCGCATTCAGGCGCTCACTGCCTCCTATGGCCTCAAGGAATACCTCAAGCCCCGAGCCTGGTAATCGTGTCAGTAGGGTTTCCGAACGCTGGCGTCTCAAAGCTATGGGTATTGTTCAATTGCCAGATGGCACAGCTGTGCCCGACTCGATAGCAAATGAGATGCACCGCGATAAAAAAAGGCTTGGAGTTAGTATGATGGGGCCGCCCAGTAGCTACCCCATCCGCCGAGCCTCCGGAGGCGATTTCGCACGCTCAGAAACACGACCGCGCATTTCCAGCTCACACGATACAGCCGACACCAGCGAATCTGACAGTGGCACCACCAAAAACAAGAGAAAGCGCGCAACTGAAGACGATGACGAAGCTACTCAAGAACGCCAAGCTAAGTCCAGCTCGCATAAACGGGTCATGAGCGATGCGCAAAATCTTATCAACGAACTCCGCTCTATGAGGGAGGAGATGGAAGAAGGCGCGACATGGTTCAAAGATCAGAACGACAGACTACAAAGCGAGTTGATTAGTAGAAGCTCAACACCCTGGGATCAAGATGCATGATTGAGAAAGTAGGAAGCAAGAAATTGCGACTAATGGAGGGTTACACTACTATCCTGAGTATATAATACTGCAATTGGATGGATGTGAGTGAGTAGGAGGTATATACCTGTTTCAACAGTTATGCTTTTGGTTAGCTACCTCGTTGTCTGTTCGTAAACAAGGGGTAGTATGGTTTGATTTGGTTTTAAACGGCATTGCATGGCACAAGGGAATGATTTGGCGAATACACATATCCGGCATTTAAAGTTGCACTACACACATTCTATGTCTCGTTAATTGTGATGGCCATGCCTTGCCGAATTCTGTGCTTTGAAAATCTAATCTTGTCCAAGTTTTTGAGTCTGCTTATGCTGATCGTCTCGATACCAACAGTCATAGGCAAACATACTCAGTAGCACTATTCCACAAGATGGTCTAAGAATGGAGCTGGGTTCTCGACTTATCACAAGAGTAAAATAGAAGTAGTTAGATTACCCAATATTAGAAGTGATAATCGAGTCAACAAACGGTATACATGAAACGATTTTGACCCAGAAACTACTCGCACCTATTTTTGCATCTATCAGTAGCATCAACATCCGTAAACCCTTCCAGTACGAGTTTGGTGACGTCCTATGGGACTCTTGGGAGCCGTTGAGGAGTTGAGCCGCAGCCTCTACTTGTTAGAATCGACCGCCCGGACATTTTCTGATTCTACTTATTCTTCTGTCATTCTATCAGTACCAGAGAGAAGCCCATATCTTCTTCAAACCGCGTCAACTAAGAGAATTCCAATCTCTTCGTGTTATAGATATTTGAAGCCCTGACCCTCAACTTGTACGAACTGGAAGGTACAGAGCTTTCATCGTTGAATAAGATAATGCCTGGACACTCTCCAATCATGCTCTATCCAGTTTTCATAAAACTGTCGCCCAAGTCTTGGATCGTCGTCGGTGCCAGAGTCGATCGTGGCATTCTCTATCCCTTCTCCGGTCGTTATATTTGCTGAGCTCAATTTTTGGCCATTCCGAAAGATACAAATAAGTCCACAGGTCTCTCAAATACCGGCCTCGTTATTTCGGTTCAACAGTTCACTCCAATCCCCCACACTTTATCGACATATCTGGCAGCTGGTTAATCTGGGGTACAGAGTCTGGGGGAGATAAGAGGAAGTGTCAAAGATAACGCCCCCTGACTTTGGCCACTTTCTTTCAACTACTACTCAGATAACGGAGATTTCTTGCCCCTTGTCACCCCAGATTTCCCCCCACGCAGCGGCGTTAAACTTGACCGGGGAGAGGTACTTGGCAAGTTGATCACTCTAAGATCGTAGTAGATCAACTTGCTGTCAATGTTACAAGATTTATATCCATCATGCTCCATCCCGTTCAGGCTCTATCTGGATGCATGTACTTAGTATGGGGACAGTTGTAGTGGCAATGATCACAAAGTATGCCTTGATCCCCCCCACGCATATGGACATGGGAGCCATGGTCATGAACATGGAGGGCAGCCACGCGGGGGGCGGTCAATTCTATTGACATGATGTATCACAGTCTAATCTGGCTATGACAATCAGGTTCCAATATTACACTGCATGTATTCGATGTAAGTGGCAGGTGGACTTGGCAGTCTTATCCATGACGTGGTGGTGTTTATTAATAAATTATTCAACTGGTTGCTATTCTAGTACAAGAACGAGCTGTAAACCTGTCTAGCTTTTCCCTTCCACTTCATTTTTGTTTTGTTTTCTACCACTCCTACTAGTGTCCGCAAATACAGATACTGAATAAAACACACTGCTCAGGTAATCAATGATATATTCTGAGAAAGATCCATCGACATGAACAACACAAGCAACAATCCGGCATGGGTGTATACTGAAGGTATATCCCCTTCCCCTTGACCAAAGGGTTCAATTGCTCTTCTCAATGACTTCCTTTCATGGGACGATCAATTATAGGACAGAGAACATATATGCGGCAATGACAAGTGTTGACTGTACGTGCCGAGATAAAAGAGACATAACATCACAAAGCAACAAGAGACGGATGATAATTCGTTATTTTTTCAAGTCATCCAATGACCAAGTCGTGATACAGTCGTTCAGGTCTTAAGCCTACCCCTGAGGAACGCCTCTTGATAATTCGCAACTACCGTTGGACCAACAACCGATTAAAGCACAACTCCCGCCGAAATGCAATGCCCACCAGGTCCGACTCCACGATCCGCCACAGGATTCACTGGGGCTTATAGATTTGACTAGAGATTCTTCCCGTTTTCTTCTGTTCTTCTTTTTGAACAGCCTTCGTCACTTTCTTTTTCGTATCGTGCTTTTCCATCAAAAAAATCCGGGACGCCATGGGCCCTCAAATATCGGGCTGCCTCATCATGCTAACCACTCCTCCTCGTCGCGCTTACGGCCTTTTATCACAAGACCATCGTCATTATCATCATCGCTGTCGTCGTCGTCGCCTTCATGGATCCTCAGTTGCTCGACCGAGTGTGCTGCGTGTTGCACCTCCTCGTCGTCGCTGGAATCATCTTCCAACATCCATGTCAGGCCGTTGGCTTCCTCTTCTATAGGAAACATCTCCCTGGCGTACTCTTCAATGCCTCGGGGACCCTCCCATAGTTCCAGAGCTTCGCTTGGGCAGCTTAGTTCAACCTTTGGATCTCCGAAGTAAGGCGGCTGCTTTCTAGGATCCTTTCGGTTGGGGTCGTAGAGTTGCTCAAGAGCCACGAGCTGTTCGCGGTAACCTTCTGGGATGCGGACCTTCACCTCGATGGGCCCATGAACATAGCGCACAGGACGACCAACTCCCTTGGAGAAAAGGCGACACACCTCCTTTGGGGTCAAGTACTCGTATGCAAGTGCGATACGCTCTCCGTTCCACTTGGCAGGGCCGTCCTTGAAAATTTGGAGAACTGCAGGACCGACGTCGTGCTCAGCATCTAGCCAAGGTAGCTTGGCATCAGGATGGAAAGGCGCTTGCCATCTAAAGGAGCCGTCCTTCTGCAACTCCATACAGAAGAGGGGGTATTGAAGAGAGGTGAAGTTGTTGTTGTAAATGCCAGTGTAAACAAAGGTGGCAGGCATTCTCAATTTGCGCACATACTGCTCGACTTCATGCTTGGCGGCCCAAAGAGGCAGCGAGGGCCACTTGGTATCATAGGCAGCATGGTCGGGCATCGATGAGTAGACATAGTGCTGGATTCCGGCGCGCTTGGCGGCATCGGCAAGGGCTTTTCCAATGGCAATCTCGTCGCCGTAAAAAGTGGTGTTGATGAAGGCGAGTTGAGCTCCGCGGAAAAGATTGGCGATCAGGTCGTAGTTGACTCCGACACCAGTCAGAGGGCCATGCTTGGTGACATCGCGGTTTGCTTCAGAGGGCTGGTGCCTCGTGTACAGTTCACCAACAAGAACGGTCACATTGGGATTCGCGGAGACTTCAGAAGCGATCACGCCGTCCAGATTTCTCAACTGAGCACGAACATGGTAACCAACAGCGGTGGCGACGCGAATGAAAGACGCAGCCTGTCGCCCGCTGGCGTTTATGACAGCGATGGTCTTGTCGGGGTTTGACATGAGCCTCTTATAAGGACGGAAAGTTAAAGAGTTATTTCTGGAATTCGCGAGCGGAGAAGAATCGGAGTAGGATGATCTCGAGTGTTTGTGCTGTTTGTAGAAAACACCCGTCTGAGGCTGATGTTGAGGCTGAGTCTGGTCGCCGGGTATTCGAATGGGGATGCTGGCGGTCATGGACCCGTTTAGTTGAGCGGGCATGCTATTGCAGTGCTTCGCGCTCTGTATGTGTTGTGGAAAAGAAAAGATCACTTTCGCGATCGGGAGGGAGCAGCCACCGGAGACGGAGCGGAGATGGCAGAAGGGCCTTTATTAGCCGGGACGGGTCAGAGCAAAGTCAAAGCCGGTACGGTTCTCAGTATGCCGGTTAGGGGGGGCAAAACAGATACGACCACCAACGAAAAGGTTTAGGTACAGGCGGACAAAGGTAACAGTACAGGCAATCTGTACGTAAAACTCAATGTATGGTGGTGGATCGACCAGAGGGCAACCGATGCAGACAGACAGGGTTGTTAGTCTGTCTGAAAGGTAGAGAGGGAGGAGGGGGGAGGAAGAAAGAGGAAGATCGTGAGAAAGTCAACCAAGAAGAGAAAGAGGGGGAGGAAAATATAGAGAATTTCAGTCAAGTCAGAGTCTCGACTAGTTGTGAGCAAACCCCAGTAAAAGAAAAGAAAAAGAGGTCACGATGCTCCGTCGCGGCGTTGCGCCAGGCTTGTCTTGACTTGTCTTGCGCTCAGTGTGCGCGCCCCAGTTCCTGGGTGGATTTAAATAGGTAAGGTAAGGGTAATGAGAATTCAATCCAGTCCGATCAAACAGGCAAGCCAGCCCAGCCCTGGCCCCAAGCCAATGCAATGTGCGATTGTGGGTGAAGGTGGATTTGGAGAATTGACGAGCTTTTGGTCTCGTTTTCGAAAAGTCCTAGCGCTGATTGATTTCAAGGGTCCTTCCTGTACATAAGATGCGGCAGGAGAGAATCGAGGTTCGAAGCACTGACAACCCAGATGAACGAGTAGTAGTAGAGGAGAGTCAAGACGAGCTGATGATGAGAGAAAAAGTCGACTTGCAGCTGTAATGTAATGTAGGGGGATCCGTAGCACCGGTCAAGAACAGGTCGATCTCGTGTAAGAACAGTTCATGAATAGGAGCAGAATTGGTTGGAAAGAGCTAGGCTCTGTGCAAGTATAAGATAGGTTGTAGTTGCAGTTGAAGTCGGTCGGTGTGTAGCAGCCGTACAAAAGAAGAAGAACCTATACCTTTGTAAGGTAATGTATCCAAGGCAAGACAAGGTACGGATAGGATGGAATGGTAATAAGGGTGGTGTCGGTTTATGGCGTGCGGTACGGGCTTTGATAGCGGGGAGGGGTGTGTAAAAGATGGGGTGGTGTAGAGATAGCACCGAGTCCTTGAAACCGACTGCCAGCAGTGGAGATCACTC